GTCGGATAAGTCGTGAATTGGTTTCCACCTTTTTAGGAAGAAGTTGAAATCACCGAAACGTTAGCCGAGGGATCATTGTCAACCTCGTGTGCTGTTAAGTCAAATAAATTCATGCTGGTCATTGTGTAGGTTATCTCTCAGTGAAATGCCACAGCTTTCCCGAGAGTAGAAAGCCGTGGCTCGTCCAGTAGGGCATTTGTTAACGCCTGGTCTTTCTTTTTTGAGAACAAGCAGTAGAATACTTTGAGCTGCTGACAGGAGGCAGCATTGAGGCCACTCATTACTATAAAACCTTCGATTGAAATTATTCAATTTTACAATTTACGAATTATTAGTGCGTGTAGTGGAGAATCTGCAATATTTCGGAATGTTTTGAGATCTATGATAGTTCTGAGCAGGAATTCGCTCGAGAAAAAAAAAACTTGGAATGCCAAGCGAACCCTGTTGTTGTCATGAATACAATGAGATTTTTCACAAGTATGCTAGGTTATGAACAAGAACTTTCGCCCCACACGGGACTCGAACCCGCACCTCTTGCTTTTTCAGCCTCGCGGTCATTGCCGATATCGGCTAACCGGCTCAACACGTTATAGTGTGAGTGCTGAAAGCTATGGTACGTATACCATGAAAAGCTGAGTTGGGATGAAATGGTGCCCCGGTAGCGTAACTGGTAGCGCACTTGCCCGGAAAGCGAGAGGTGCGGGTTCTAGTCCCGCCTGGGGCGAAAGTTTTGTTCACAACCCAGCATCTTGTGAAACATTCGCAAGGCGACTTGCGGCAAACAGCAGTTACCAAACATTGCGATGTCTTTTTCCGAACAAATAGAGCAAATCTTCGCTTTGGTTATGATATCATAATACTAATGTTAAGGATTCGAGTTTTCAAGAGTTCCTCTAATTTAATTAGGTGATTTTTTTGTTTTATTCTTTATCGTTTTATACAGGGTGGGCAAAAATTACGGTAACAGGATAAAGTGTTCATGGAAGAGCAATTCGGCCAGCAAGACACACGTGGACCCCAACAATGTATTCATAGGAGGTCACCAGACAGAATACAACATCACTTCTTGGACTGGCCGCTGTTTGCGTTTATACCTGAATGAAGTCATCTCGGGAACGCATATGGCCTGTTGTGTAGGTAGGTGACATCGAGCTTACCCTAGGATCTTCTTTAATTCGTCGATGCTTTAGTGATACTCGTAGTAGCCCATCGTCTTCAGTAGACTCCACGGAAAATAACCCACTTGCTTTAACACGGGAAAATAAGGTGGCCCCTCGTTCAATGGCATGAATTCGGAAAATTCTGCAAAACCAATGTTGCACAATATTTGCTTTGTGCACAAGCGGTCTACCTTGCTGTTTGTGTCTAGTGATTTCTCTCCGGGGTCTCTTCAACCAGGTGCATTTATTAGGTTCGAAGGAAATCGAGATGTTTTGGTTAGCGCTCTTGTTACCGTATAATTTTTGCCCCACCTGATAATTATGTTTCATCAAAATTCGCAGTTCCCAAAGAGCGCTCTGAAATTTCATAACTTGACTAGAGTACACAGCATTAAAAGTTGTTCGTTGAATGTGAGAGGAGAATTGTTCCAATTTTAGCCTGAGTAACTAGAAGAAAAAGAATAATGTGACGTTTATCCGCAAATAACTATAAAGAGTGCCTATGCCGACGAACATTGCTTGAGGTGCTTGCTAATTTAATATACTTCGTTTATCAATAAGCTTTGTAATTCGTTACCAAGGGTTGTTGACGTCGTAGCCGGTGAATTGGGTCGCGTGATAATTGTACTGGGTTTTCTTCGAATGAAAATCTGTCTCTAGATTTCTTTCTTTAAGCATTATTCGCACTACTTGAAAGGATACAAAATACACATTTATCGGTCCAGCTGTGGCTCGCTTTAAATTCGCTGTGCATAGTCAGTTTTCACAGCGTCTACCATATAGGACCCATCCCCACTTGATGAAAGTTAGTCGAACCGGTAAATAATTGAAAATCTGGCTTCCACTGGAAAAAATCAAGTAGCGAAATACCTGTACCTAAAGGTAATCTCTGGGCTGAAACTTGCGTATTACAGCGCTTCATAGCGATGGCTGAACAGGAAGTGACAAAGAAGGCAACAGAAATCGTATAAATGCTCAAATTAAGGACCTTAACTTATAATAAGGTCAGGTGTGGTACGACGAGAGACAGCTCGACCAGGAAAGGGGAAACACGCGCGAGAGCACGCTGTATGAGAGTGCGCTGATGGGTGGGGAGCGTTGCGATGGTTGCAGCTTCATAAAGGCTTGCGCCCTGGCCACGCATTCCCTACAACGAAGCTTGCACGACCCGAGTACAGACGCAACACGCTCACTCGCGACGTTGCTCCTACTAGAGGGGCTAATCCGGGGTTTGCCTTTGGAGAGGATCCCACGATCAGGTCGGAGGACAGGTGAGTCTCCTAAGGGTTCGGGACGATGCGATTCTCGTAGTGAAGAGTATGCTCCAGCAGCCTCGCGAAGCTGTGCCCGCACCGCTCGTGTCCCGGCACGCCCACGCTCTCGCCATCTTGCTCTAGCTCAGAGGGAACGTTGGCGTTGAGGAGGGCACCATGAGAGTCGCATCAATGCGGAAATCAACGGGCTAAGAAGGGGTTTTGCTCCACGGGCCCTGGGCCGATAAGCACGTCTCTTTTCAATCAACACACTATTATGTGTGCGGAGAGCCATGTACTAGTTTTTTCTGGAACTTGATTTTTCTCGTTAGCCGTTGAGCCATGGTAATATTTGATTAAACTTTTTCTTTGAGGCTTCATGTTCTTACGTTGTGTCCTAATTCGTTAGCAAACATTACTCTATTTGGAGAAATATTTTCGATCCCCTATTTTTACCACGAATTAGGCTTGAAGTTTGGCAAGACCTACGAGATACCTAAGTAGAACATCTACCTTATACCTGGTAAGTAACTCGTTTCTAAAGCGCTTGCACCTCTAACCTTTTCGTTACTTTTGCTAAAAGTGGACATCAATTTCTAGGGTTGAAAATTTAGTGAGACTAAGCCGCCGACATCGAGTTCCGAACCTCCTTAGTTTGAGAAAGGAAAGCGCAGCCCTTGCTGTTATATCGGGGATGTTCGAGAGTTCCGTGGGATAAGTAAGTGACACATCACCGCATTGATTGTCTTTCCTCTGAAAATAGATTCGTACTTGCGCTTGTTATGAGTTAATTGCGGATTTGGCTAATTTCCCTTGAGTAAAGCTCCCACTCCGCGAGCGTGACATGCGAGCTTTTTACAGCAAGGCACATGAATCAACTACTTCGTAGAGCAAATAGATCACTTCAGAATGACATATAGCAATCTACAGGGGTGGCCAAAAAAAGAGACACTTCACTCAACATTCAAAACGGAATTATTTACGCGTCGCGAAACCAAACCAAATGACCCCAACTGAATATTGAAGAGCACGTTATAATCTATCAACAAGCTACACAACAGCCTTCTACACCGACGACATCAGAAGATTTTCCCACGGAAGCATTGTGCACGGTACGAGCTCAACGAGGTCGTCGAGATACCATAGACGATTACGACGTCTCTGAAACGCAGGTCAAAAGCGGTTTTGCACATTCACAGCTAATGTCTCTAGGAAGCTATTCAACAATTAATTCACTGAGGAAATTGTGTAGCAGCTTCAGGTCGGAGCGATTTCGTAGCCTCGTTGGGCTCGACGGTGACGCGGCAGATGACGTCATATTTCTGAACGTGGGGAGGGCAGAAGGAGGCCTGCTTCTGTTTACGGGGGAACACCTTAAGGAATATTTTGCCGTAAAACTTTCATTAACATCGGCACCCTGTGCGACGAAAAGTTCGATGATGTGCGCCATGGGCTAAGTGTCTCTTTTTTTTGGCCACCCCTGTATATAGAGATGAATATTTGCAAGAAATTTCATTTGAGGAAAAATCACGTTATACGAAGTTATACGATCGTACTACTCAACTTTACGCATAAATGATCTTCCCGATCTTAAAAAAGACCAATCGGTGTCTCATTCAATCAATTGAGCACACGACACGAAAGAAGATGAAGAAGGCTTTGTATATGAATGCGGGTTCAGGTTGGCAAGGTTGGAATTCCCACTCAAAAAAGGATCACAACATGATACTTTGAACCCACACAGACAGTGCTTTCGTGGAAATGGTAAAATTAGTATAAAAGACTTTCTGTGGAATTTCTCTCATAGACCAACTCGACTGGCAGAAAGAAGCTTATTCCTCACTATTCGGGTGGGTCTTGAGGTTTTTGGAGAGACTTTGGTCGGACCCGCAGATGTGCTCGAAGAGACAATTCGGAAGATGTTCATCAAAGGTCTGGGGTGGTTCCAAAAGGAGGGGACATTGAAGTTTGGCTTGCCAACATGTCAGGTAGACGACTAGGATTATAATGAGGTGCTTGAGTCCCGGCTACAACCTTTTTCGAAAAGTCATGGTTGCAAATCACTTGTTTTGCAGGGGAGGTCCCTGACACCATTCCATTTGGAAAAATGCTAAACGCAACGGCTTTGATTGGCAAGTCGGCTAGCGTATTCCTCAGACTTCATCCTTATTGAAAACGTAGAGGTATCGTTCGCGGTCTCTACGTCATTGAACAAAAGAGTAATATCACAAGTGACCTAACACGTCGGTGAAATTTGCTAGTTGGGAACAGATCTGCAAGACATGTATCCAGACCCCATTCATAGCATGCCAAACAGAATGGCTCAACTTACTAGAAACTTTGGTAGGCCTACCGATTTCAGATTTTGAAGATATTGCCGTTTTTCAAAAAGTGTCCACATAATTTTGATACAAAGAAAAAACTTTCCATGAAAAATAGTTCGCTAAGTTAGAACGAAATCTTTTGCCGAAAATATCATTGTAGGTTATCGACCACTAGGAGTTGAATGGTGGAGGTTTCATGACATAAAAGCCTTTAGCTGACCCCTGAGAATCGATTCCAGGGTGTCCACATACTTTTGGTACGCACTGTATAGACAGGGCTGTGCTGAAATGCGCTTGTCGAAAAGTCTGATACCCAGGCGTCTACGGCTACGTGGCGTGGCCCAATCCGTACATCGTTAACTATATGCGGTCTTCCATATGTAGTTAATGGTGTACGGATTTTCGGGTATCCAAAAAGGAGCAATCATGAAATTGATTTCGGGTAACCCAAAGTTTATGATGATATTTACTTGAAATAGAAAGCCTTTTCAACACTGTCCTGTTCTTATACTTGTCATTACTCATACCCAAGTTTTTGGATAATAGTCTGCCGCTCCATTAGGATAATTGTAGAGCAATGCAACTAATTGGGGAATGATTTCCGAAACATCTCATCTATTTGTACCCACAATAGTATTTCTGTCCGGGAGCCGCTTATGATTCATCGTTATCGTTAATTGGTTTCTTAAGATAGCCCACAATCAGCAATATGAGGCTGAAACCTTCAGTGAAAACAAGGAGCATCGGAGAAGTTGCGATGGCTACTGATTAACAATATTAGGAGGCGTCGGATAATAGGGCGGAAGTGGTGTAGTGACAAGTGGCGCGCTTACCACGCGAGCGGTCCGGGATCAAATCCTGGGTCGTGAGTCGCCCGGGCCAACCAAGCCTTCCATCCCTCCGGGGTCGGTTAATTGGTACCAGACTTGTCTGGGAGGATAAAAACACTGACTTGTACATCGGCTGGCCCCCGCAAGTCATTGTATAGGCCACATCGCATTCAAAAGCCACTGCGAATGTACAAATGGAAGTAGAATGCGTGCCGCATCCCAAAAAGGGATTGATCAACGGCAAATGCTTTATCCTTTATCCTTTATCGGAGGGAATAGTTTCTTTATTTAATACAAGGAATGCTGAGCTGAGGAAAACGGAGGCACGGAGCAATGCTGAGCTGCACATCTTGAGGCTCAAAACCTAACTTCTTTTTCCTGAGGGCACGTGCCGGCGTTGAAAAGGTTGATGTCTTCAAAGAATTTGGAGTCAGTGCCACGATTCACTGCCTGCTTGTGATCCATGAAGAGGCAGCCATTCTGTCATTTGAGATTGCCAAAAATTTTTCCTTAGTCCGCGATAGTGGCGGTCGTGTTAGCAAGGACAGCCAGATATACGTTGCTCCATCGGGACCTCTACTAGCTGACATCTGCATAATGTGCGACTCTTGTAACAGCCACGACTTTCTTGGCCGCATTCCTCGCTGCCAGGTAGCTTGTCAGTTATGTTCTACCGCGGACATAGTAGTAGAGCCGTTTCTTCTCCCGCTAACAAAAATATGAAAATAAGTAGGTTCATGAAGACAGCGAAAGAACTGGTCCCAATTTGCTTTAATTTTTTTTGCTGTTGTTGTTTGTGATAGGCACGAGATGGCGCCAGGTTACCCTTGGTCTCAGCTTTATAAAGAAAATCACAACTGTTGTCGTTTCTATTGACACATGATCAATCTCCAAGGTTTCGTTTCCGCAATCCAGGATTCAGCGTGATAGCGGCTTTTTTGCAGCGCTCCTGTCTCAGCGTAAATGAAAAGTAGTACTAGAACCTCTACTAGCCTACCTACGAGCATTTACTCCTGAAGGTTTCTGGTAAGAAATTGTTAGAGGCGGAAAAATCATAGAACGGTCTACCATCTGCTGAGCCGATTAGCCCGATTTGAAATAATTCACGGCATTATCTTGATACGGTCTCAACGCGAATCCCACACCCACCGCGGCCTTACAGAAGGTTCTTCACCATAAGATCGGAAAATCTGTAAAAGTTTGTCGAGAGCCATCACCCCCCCCCCCCCACAATCGCCTTCCTATTCATCAACCCACCCCCACCCCATAATTTTGCCCCACCACGCAAATTACGCCCTCCCTCCTTTCCACCATCATAAATACGCTAAAATCAGAGATAGGAGCCATTGGGAAATATCAAGCACGGCCTTTCACATTCTCGAATTTGGCAAAATGGAGGGTCGACTGATGCTTGCGAAGCCTTAATGAATGTGAATATCCTTTTGTGGAAACGGGCCACCTTTTTTATGAAATTGCAAACCACCCCATAGTACAAAGAGCTATTGACAGTAGCAACATTCAAAACCCTCGAATCATAGTACAACGGCTATTGAAGTAGCAACTTCTAGAAACCATTGTTTCAGGAGCTACACGTACAGAACAGTGTGCCTGTGCAAGTTGTTAGGGTAACTAGACTGAGTAGTCCACCTTGGAGTGTAACGAATTATCCTTCTTCTTCTCCTCCCTAGCTTTAGTCCCGCGCAGTCGCAGGGTCCGCAACGAATTATCCTAACACTACGGCCGCGTTCATAGTTCGCGACTCGGGAGATTAGGATAGTAGGCGACAGGATATTAGGATAGTAGTAGAGTAGATTGCGCTGACAAGATTGGATACGTCGATTGAAATCGCTGGAGAGTAGTAGATTGGGCGACTTCAAGCGAATAGATCAATACATATCTAATCTTGTCAGCGCACTATCCTAATCTACTACTATCCTAATCTCCTACTCTACTACTATCCTACTATCGTAATATCGCAATCTACTACTCTCCGGCGATTTCAATCGATACGTATCTAATCTTGTCAGCGCAATCTCCTACTCTACTACTATCCTAATCTACTACTATCCTAATCTCCCCGTCAATACATATGTTTTTCATTGTCGCGTACTATCCTAATCTCCGGAGTCGCGAACTATGAACGCGGCCTACGAACAGGCTATAGGAGGCGCGATGGGACTCCAAGGGCGTCAGCACGTTGTAGGGTGCCTGAGGTTGCTGGATAAGGCGGTGAGGATGTTTTATCAACAAATACAGGTGGATGATGTAATTATGAAATTTCGGAGGCGGTGGATATTACATGCAAAGCGTTGAGGTTGCAATTTTTACAGACGGGTGCCTGAAGCAGTAATGGCCGGTACAAGCAAGGAAAAATCGACCACTTTCATACTTATGAACTTATCTGAAAATCGGCGTTTATCATTTATTAAATACCGAGATCGGTAGTAATTGTTAATATGTGATGTATGTATAAGACATGTTTTTTTTTCAAGGTCTGCCAATCTTAACTGCTTCCCTTCTAGCCACTCTTCTCTCGAGAACCTCTTTCCTTCGATCCTTTCACTGGTTTTCCTTTGGGGATATCTATCAGTTCATCATCATCCTTGGAATCTCTTCGCCTTCTCCTTACTTTTTCGCCAGACGGCTTTTCCTGTTCTTTGTCCTGATTTCTCTGAATAGCAAGATGATTGTTTTGTGTTATATTTATGAGAAAAAAGCATGCGGTGCCGAACACAATAATCACCACAATCCTGCAAGCCATTGTGCGACGATTAACTAATTTAAACATAACGAATGTGAAACACCGAGTATTTATTATGCAAGACTAAGAAACTTTTTGAAAAGCTGCAAAATACCTGTGAAAGCTTTTGTAGTTTTCTGACCTTTCGCGAGCCTTTCAGCAATCAGTGCTTTCAGCAAGCTTGAAATAGCAAGATAATACGACTAATGAGCTTTGTTCGGATACATGCTTAAAGCGAGAAATTACGATAAAATTTCTGTGCAGCATGGAAGAACGAGCAGCACTTCAAGCAGTAGCTAGAGCCCAAAGGAATCGAGATGTGGCCTTTTTGTGACTAAAGGTGCGCTCGTTGCAGCGCCCTGGGGCTGCCAATCCTTTCTGAGCTCCGCCTCCGCCTGTGCTCCGCCCCTCAGCAGATCGCTGTTCGATTATCATTCTGATAAGGTATGCCACTTCGAGCGCGTATCCAATTTTTTTCTCATGGAATGCTATATCAATCAAGGTATGATCTCTGGTGGTATGATGGCAGCTATGGTTTAACGAGTGCCGACGACCTCTTAGTTGGTTGCCAACTCGTCCATTATCGGAGGTCAACGGGCAGAGGAAGTGGTCCCATTTTGCGCGTTTTTGACGGATTTCTTTGCTTTTTTCGCTACTAGGGCATTATTCAGCATCTTCACTTCCACTATGAGCACAACAGAATCCTATCGCAATCTCTCGCTTTAAAATCAAAGAACCATATAAAATGACTAACCCGCGCCACCCACAAACATTAATTAGTTGTGTTTAACATTACATTGTATTGAATATTTTTATATTTTAATTGCATTGTATTAATAACATTGAACGAGTTCACATTTCTGAGTGGCAGCAGGTATATATTAGTTTTGATGTAAACTGAGAAAACAAAGCTCATCAGGAAAGTCCCTTAGTCAGGCTTTAAAAAGGCGCTATGCGTCAAAAAGGCATATGAGCCTTCAAATTGTTTATGGAAAACTTTGCAACTCTTTTGTAAAAATTTTTGCCTTTGGTAATACTAGGTTGGGTGTGCGTCATACGGCGCGATCCCATTGGCATTGGAGCGCAACAGGCCGTAATTACTACGTCCTGCTGGTGCCGGACAACTCGTCCACGCTACACATTCTGTTCGTTCATCTTGCCTTGACATCAGGCCAACGAAGGCTAAAGCCCATCACTTTTTTTTTAGATCTTCTGCGGACAATGTCCGCCGAGATTTTTGAGGCCCAAAATCCCTCACATGTCGATCAACTGCTGAGTATATCCGCTGTGTGATTCACGACGAGTTGCCACGGATATTCTAGTGCGCTCTGTAACGCTCTAACTCTACATTATTCACTATTGTCCAATTATACGAAGTTATACGAAGAAAAATTTAGGGTGGTCAGTTCTCCATACTCTGCGTGATTATCGAAGTGATACACTAGGCTAGGGTCGTTTCAGCACCGTATTGGGGTTTTTCGTTTCAGAGCATTTCTATTCGAGGAGCTATTGACATTAAAGCAACAATCCAGGAACGAATTCGCGGGTAAGGACCACCTATAATGACGTTGCAGGTGAGAAGTTGGTCAATGGAGAAAGAAAAAGTAGAAAAAACGTCGGGCAGGGGCTTAGACAGGACTCCTCCCCCTGCCGTTAAGCGATGGGGGAGACGTGTGATGGACGAGTTGTCCGAACCTGCCCGCAGTTGCATTTCCTAATCGTTTTTGAAGAAAGGTACGACGCAAAGAACTGTGAGCGAGTCTGCAGGCGGTCGCCGTTCTGGTGATAGTATCGATACATCTTGGCTGTGAAGAATGCAGAATGAAACCAAAACTATTCAAGGATGGGGCTTGATTGCTCAAAACTGGTCCCGCAACGTCTTCGCACCTGGCCAAGCCATCATCACGGCTGGGAGACAGCGGCCATGCCCGCTCCCGCCCATCCCAGTCCCGCCTCCGCCCATCTGCTGTAGTTCGTCGCCCTTCCTACAGGCTTCCAAAGGTGAGTTCATGTTCAGTTCCCTTTCAGATATGTTTAACTAGGACCAGTGCTTCTCCCCACCCCATTAGCGACTAATGCTCGGAACCCTGCCTGGACTGTTGCTTTAATAAAAAAGCGGCGCCTGGTTTGCAAGAAGTCAATCAACTAAGGAAGTCGCAGCAAATTAAACGCAAAACCCCAAACGGAGCGAACGAAAAAATGCGAATAAGCTGAAAAGAAGCGGGGTGGACATCTCGAGGCGTCGTCGTTCCAGAAAATGCCCTCGAAACGACTTTATTAGATGTCGGTCTGCCGTGCTGCTGGTCCACCAGCCCACTGTCGCATTTATGCCATATTCCCCCTACTTGATGATATGACTCGTATGATGATTCCGTCTGGGGTAGTATGGGGTTATCGAGTGTCCTGCCAAAAGAAACAATTTGACATTAAACTCCTTAGCCTGATATTGTGTAAAATGAATGAGAAAGGCAACTGATCGGAACTTCAAGAAACGATTCAAAATGCCTCTTGGTAATTGAAAGGATTCATTGGCCACGAATATTAATGTCTTCTCAAGAAGGAATGGCTTTAAAAGCTTCACGAGAACAACAAACTCACTTCTCCGATACTACTAAACTTCTGTAGTGATACAATCGTAGAGGAACACCTCTTTTCATATCCTGTAATCACTCATGGTATGGGCGTATCAGACGAAATGACAAAAAAGTTATCAGCTCCTAAAGGCAGTGGTCAGGATGACTGGGAGGCGGAGTGGTTTGGTGACGTCACTGAATGCCACTGCTGGACAAGACCCGCCACCGCTTCAAGAGGGGGGGGGCGTAGCCAGAACCGCCTTTCAATGCCTTTGCATCAACGGCATTCAATGACGTCATCGAAACTGCACCGCCCTCCCGCTATCGTAATCGCTGCCTTGAAAGCGAAGCTTTAGCATGCAGATGGACATCTTAACAAGAGTTCCCATTTCTCAATGCTGTTGGCGGCTAAAGCGCTTTGACAACCGAGTCGCAATTGCGATTTTGGGAAGGGGGATCACATTTTGTGGTTGAGCAGACAATTGCCTTGGGAATGGTGTGAAAGAGGTTGTGGAAAGGACTTTGTGTTTGACGGGTTTTTCGATGAGTTTCGCGGAAGATGTGAGGTTAAGTCGACGACAGTTTGGAGGAAGAAGGGTAAAAAGGTCAAATAGGATAGAAAGAGCCATGAATGGCCACAGTGGTGATCGCGGTAGGGAGGGGTGTCGTGTTGTGGGAGTCGTCTCAGACTTGATGGGCAGCACGTAGTGGTCAGGGTCAACCGTACCCGTTCGAACATTCGACGGCGGGGGATAGTTCGCATTGGCTCGGAGGGACAATAGGGGTCGCATGGCGCGGCGCCCGTTTTTCAGTCAGTCAGGCAGGCAGGGGTTGTTGCCGTTTCAGTGGTTGTATATACCCCCCCCGCTCGACGGCTATTTTTGGGGAAGAAGTAGGCGGAGTTTCGGAGTTTTAGGTAGGTTTTGGGCTGTGTCAACTGGTCTCAGAATCAAATACTATAGAAGAGGGAAGGTCGCGGTGGGGGGATGGCTGGTGTTGTATTGGGGGGTCGCAATTGTGCATTGGGTGGGGGTCGCAACTGGCCCTTCCAGAGGGGCGGGATGACGACAAAAATTCCCGAAAATGTTGACGTGCGGTTGACCCTGGGTCAAGAGTGATGAGGCAAGTCCATCGAGATTCCGGAGAAAAAGGCGAACGTAGAAATTTTTTGATAAAGTGCCACGCGACGGCTGACCCTCGCGGCAAAGTCTGTTTTCAATATTACTTTCTGAGACAACACGAGTCTGTCAAAATGTTGAGTAACTTGCTGAAACCCTCCTGAATGCAAGCTCAAGCACTTTGACAATTTAGAGTAAGTTTTGTCGTGAAACAGTCCCCTACAATACCAGAAAGGGGGTCCCTAGTCACACAATTTCACCACCTGTTTTTCAATCAAATCTATTTGTAAGGGTTAGACGTTCCTAATCATGAATTTGGTACTAATTATTCATGCTAACTCCATTTTGCGAATTTGGAAACGTCAACACGAATGCAAAAGCTTGTCACCACGAGGAATCGACCCTTTATGGTACTCAGAAGAGCGTACAGCGAAAAATAGACCATGCTTCGGTTGGTTCACCCCATTGCATGCCAATGTCAGCCAAGAAAACCGTTTTGAAAAAGCTGGCAAACCCTGAACGCCCTCATACTAAGTTTGGAATGCGCGATACGTACAGAAGTTGCATTATCGGACGGATGGCTCACAAGAAGACCGCTCGTTGGATCAGTCTTAGCAAAACTCCAACTGAATTACGGAACTTACTGAGGGTGTTCTCGTTGTGCTTGGAGCAATTACTTGGTTTGTGTAGATGTCTGGCTCGCTGTAGTTGAAGCGGGGTGTCGTAGCTGAAGTAGATGTGGTAAGCAAAGCAGTCGTTGTAGTGGAAGGGATCGTTGTAGTTGAAGAAGTTGTTGTTGTTGGTGAAAGAAGTCGTTTTTGTTGTTGCAGTCGTTGTTGTTGTTGTTGTTGTTGTTGTTGTTGTTGTTGTCGTTGTTGTCGTTGTGGTTGTAGTCGTTGTAGTCGTAGTTGATGTGGTTCGTTTGGGGCTATTGGTTCGTTTGGGGGCTATGGTTTGTTTTGTAGCCGCAGTGGTAGTACATGGTGATGACGTCCCTGGTGCGCTTAAAAGAATCGGGTTATCAGTATTTCGATGAGCTATTCATTTATTCATTGACACATGAACGACACCATCGTAGTAAATGTTTTGCAGCATGGGACGATGTGATTTCGCGTGCGCGACCTCCTCGCTTTGATGTCTGCTGATACTGCGTCATAGTGAACGATTAAGCGTTCCAAATTGGTGCTTACTGATAGGGTCATGCTCTATAATGATACCAGATTGGTCCTCAATTTTCAACGCTGCTTCGTTCCATTGCAAGCTGCTCTTAGAAGGCATATGAGATAAAAACTGCTGAAGGACGACATAGGCCGATGTCAGACTTTGCGAATCGCGCGATTCGCTAGCGTCTGCGGTCGCGTCGCGGCCAGTGGATCATTAATTGGCTGGTACCGCAACGCGACCGCGGACGCAAGCGAATCGCAAAGTCTGACATCGGCCATAGGCGGATTTCTGTTGGGTCCCTTTGAGCAATACTGTCAAGCTAGTGGCCATATTCAATAGAAATTATCAACCAGTGTCAAGGATACTATGAGCAAAATACTTCGAGACTTGTTTGATGATGAGGTGAGGGGTGGAGGAAATACATGTACCTAGTGGAACCTGCGGGTCCCATGATGCGAGGCGATGCGGGTTCCGCTTGGAAGCGTATGCACTTAAGCCTGGCGACATGGCAGGGGCATACCCGCGCCGTTTGCCTCACTGCCCCCCCCCCCACTCCTCGTAGTCTGATTCTAGCCGCTCTAGCAGGTGGAGCTTCAGCGTTGATGAGGCCTAACGCGCAAATCAGCGGGCGACAAAGGGTCCCATTTCTTGGGTTTTTTGGTTTATTTCTTCGCCCCTGCATCATTCCACCTCTACCTTGATTTCTACTAGGCTGCCTCTTCATTGTAAGCTCCGCCTACAATACCACCTCAAACGAGGGTCATGGTGTGGGTGTCACTAACTTCCATATGTCCTTTATCCTGCACCTTCATAAGCTGCTTTCAATTTTTATCTCTTATCAAAAGTTTCCTCATCCCACCTCACATATATATGTACATAGCTCACATGAGCGACCCTACTAGCGATACGAATGGATTGAAGGAATCCTACGCGGAAAATTCTTGCATTCTTTCTTGACATGAATGTGTCAGTTGTGATCACTGGAAACAGCACACAAAGTTTCACGCATGAAGATTCGGTTTCCGAAGAGAAACAAACGTACAAAAACTACTCTATGGACAATCGAAGGTAATTCGGGCGGAGCCAAAGGCGAGGCATGGAAAGAAGTTGGCCTTTGGCCGGCTACGTATCAGGCGACGCAATGAAAGAATCGGGTTAAAGCGCGCGATTTCGGAGAGTAGAGACAAATCGATCGATAGAATAGGAATGTAGCATTTGAAGCACAGTGCCAGCAGGTGGGCGTGGTCGGAAACGACTGCAATCCCCTCGGCCGATTCCGACCTACGCCCACTTCAGATACTCTCCTTAGCGGCCTTCCAAGGTGAGTTTTTGTTCAGTCACACTTCTTACGTTCTTGACTAGGGGCTGAACAGCTTCGAAGTGGTAATCGGCCAAGAGGATTCCAGAGCACGCCCACCCAGCTTGGACTTGTAGCTTAAAGGAGGAATTCACGATTAGAATGAAGGTCGAAGAAAGGGAAACTGACCTAGTTGAGGGACCCACGGACCTCCTGAGGGTGCGAACTGACGCGCAATTCGCATGGAAAAATTTGACCTCGGCGACCTATCATGCCTCAAAGCTGGCGGGTCCGGCGATCTCCGCCCACCGATCATCTGATCACTCGCCGTAGTTCAATACGTGGCGAGTGATTAGATAGCTGAGAGAGCGTAGTGTTGAAGAGGGCACAGCGATGAGAGTCGCATCAATGCTCGAATCAACGGGCAAGGAAGGGGTACCATTTCTCGGGTTCTGGGCCGTTTCTCATGGTTCTTCCTTCTTTCGTGTACCACTCACCATCCCTAGGTTAATTTGAAATGGGTTGCTTTTTCATCGTGAATTCGTCCTTTAAACCGCAGCCTTGGCGCTCTCTTGCGAGCCCCTCTCTTCTCCAAGGGCTAGGGCATTTACCCGTTCTTTAATCGTCTGTTCTCTAGCCATCGCGACAGAACCATTGAGGAAAAATCAAGTAGTCCGTAAACAAAAAAAATTGGGTTAAAGCGCGCGATTTCGGAGAGTAGAGACAAATCGATCGATAGAATAGGATGGAGTAGAAGTGTAAGATGTGAATGCAATAAGCAGAAGGCCAGAAAGAGTTTCTAGTGAATGCACTCCAAGAACCCAAGTTGAGCATCCCCGTCGCCAGCATTCGTGAAAGACGTCCGTGGGCAATTCGAACGCGTAGCAGCCTTTTCGAGTTTTCGAATTTTCTAATCAAAACGAAAGCAATACTTCAGTTCTTTTCACTATTATCGTGGATAATGAGTCTCAAGCCAGTGATTTATGGCTGAAATAGAATCATGATTTTCCGTTGAATGATTCTACTAACGAAAGTGGTGATTTCATCTTCATCATCATATACACTAAAATGTGTGATCCGTCATATCGTTACATCGTGTCGAAGCCAATCGTTGATGCATGCGATTGTGTGGCACAGATATTATTCAAAAAACGAAAACTTAAAGAAAAACTGATCCGCATTGCTATGAAGTCACATCGTCCCACGCAACCAGCTTAGTTTAGTTTGAAATGGAGCCGCGCTGCCATCAGCATGCCATAAATTTGATCTGACAATGGGTTTCACCGAATTAGGAGCGTACTTGAAATTTTTCCATGCACATTCTGCCATCTCTGTATCTGAAAATAGTTTCATTTAGCATGTCAGAAAGAACTGCTGCGTCGGCTCTTGCCACTCAGGAACTGTTCTTTCCAATGTAGTACAACACGAAGTACTCATCTACCAGCTTTACGAAGAGACCTTTCCCTTAGATGAAGTTGCTGGGTTAGCTACTGCGAGGGATGGCGCCACTTCTGTCGCTTTTGAAACCATAGCCTAATGCCTTCATCCTGGTTTTGCAAACGCGTTCGAATATTTCAAATGATTTTGTAAAGGACATCACTGTTTGATCTTTTACTCGCACATGTTCATGCCACATAATAAAACACACAAACAATATATCAACCCCGAAAAGCAGCACCGGCGCTCATCGCTTGGCCGCCCGAACCCGATTTTGCAAAAACTCATTGTTTTTGATTTCAAACTAGGCAAATTATAGCCGCGACTGGGTGTCAGATTATGTGTGTTCATTTAGTTTTGTCAAGATTGAAGTTGTGTGGTGGTTGAGGAAGAATTTTTTTATTTGATGGTTTCCTTGAGATTTGAGAAAAGCTTTCACAGCGGAGCATAAATGGAGAAATGAAGAAATGGCTATTTTTTGAAGCTGCTATTTACAAGTCAACCGCTCCGCGCCGACAGAGAGAGGGCAAACCTTCTTGAAGTGTAAAAAATACGGCTTGGGTTGCAATAGGTCATCTAGTCTCAGGACGCAATAATCAACAAGGCAGCGATTAACGATCAATCTGGAGGGATTTAGGGACGTGGGGTGCGGTAACCAAATGGGTGAAACCAGCCGAAGAAATAGTTAAGAATATGCAAAACGGTACGCCTTTGATAGTCCTTTCATTATCGACCATGGATGAGCGGCGACAAAGAAGGAAGTTGTTTGGACGTGCTAACCCCGATAGCGCAACCATGCCAACAAGAATGGTGTTTTGATTGGTAAGGCATTACATAGGTGAGTCGCAGGATACAGTCGCTAATAGGGGAATGATCTTCCGAAACGAAATGCCAAAAGCAAGCAGCTCGTCCAAGTCACCAACTGAACTAATGGGCGTGACACTTTCGGTGCGGAGTGCTTCGGAGGTCCTGTCAAGCAACCAGGGCACCTTTTATGTTGAAAGCCCCACACTTTGCTTCTGGCGGCCAAGTAACTGATTCGTATGGCGCATAAACTACACTCTGTTTCATGCAGCCAGAAATCCACGTGGCACACGTGGCTAAATTCTCGATGAAAAGGTGACATCACGTGTGCTCAAAGATGTTCTTGAATCGATGCCACGTTAATGCCACGTCAATTTCTGCAATTGCACAATTTCTGGTCATTTGAAGGCGAGGTACTTAGGCCGATGTCAGACTTTGCGAATCGCGCGATTCGCTAGCGTCTGCGGTCGCGTCGCGGCCAGTGAATCACTCAATTGGCTGGTACCGCAACGCGACCGCGGACGCTAGCGAATCGCGCGATTCGCAAAGTCTGACATCGGCCTACCGCTGCTCGCTCTTGCTTGTATCGTAATCGCTTCCTTTCCAGTAATACGCAATTATGGTGGGTCGCGGTGTGTTGAGATGTGAGTATGTGAGGTCGTGCTGGAGGTCGACTCTCAACTGTCTACTAGGGGTGGTGTGAATTTCAACAAAACTTACTGCGAAAAAGCGCGAACCAACGCATAGCCCAAATCCATGCACTGAGATGGTAGGCCGAGGACATGGATACTCGTCTCCACATGGATCCATGCACATCCATCATGGCGTTGCCTCATCTGTGTCGCGCCGCTGATCAGCTGTTATCTCTTCTTTTGTCTTTCTCGGCCCCAACCTCATCTCACCGCTTTCCTCTGATTGCTTCACGCAAGTAGGCTCGTGTTTGTTCGTTGCTTTGCAAATAACGATTCACTTCACATCCGCTCCTTCATATCCGAGTAGAATTACAACATCAAGCGTTTCTCTTT